GTGTTATTAAATGGTTGCCTCCTCTTGCCTGTCCTACCCGTAAGGCTTATTTCTCTTCCTCCTCATCCCCTTCGTTTATCTTTCTCTTACAAGTTGTGCCATCCTACCTTGCCTACGCAAATTTATCCTTTTAACATGTTTGCTATTTTTGTCTTTTTACCCACACTTTCTTTTGGGATTTACTATTATAATATACTTTATAATTTGTATATTGGAGGAACATTGTCTTATTAATTTTCCTAAAGTATGTGAGCTCTACTCTATTTCTTCACCACTGTGCGCAATTCGTGTATTTTTTACCTGCATATTTTTCAGAAATGACTTCTGAGGCAAGTAACCGGCGCCGAGTTAAACTTTATACTCTTAATGACAACAGAGAATGGGATGACACAGGCACCGGACATGTATCTGCCCTTTATACTGAACAGAACAATATGGCACTAGTTGTTATATCCGAGGCTGATGGTTCCAGACTTCTTGAATCCAAAATTCAACCCGACACAGCCTACCAAAAACAACAAGCGACCTTGATTGTTTGGTCTGAATCGGAAAACCTTGATTTGGCACTTTCATTTCAAGAAAAAGTTGGGTGTGACGATATATGGGAAAAGATCTGCAATGTTCAAGGAAAAGATCCCACTGTCCTCCTCACACAAGATGTGATTGACGATTCGGATAATGCTGATGACCCAGATAGATATGCATCGTCTACTTCACAACTAAATCAGGCTATTGATCTTCCCACATGCGAACTTGGACGGCTTGAGGAAATAGTAGAAGTCATCAGCCAAGGTGCCAATTCTCAAATTAAAAAAGACCGACTTGTGACTACCCTTGAACAGACTGACTACATCAAACAATTGACTGAACTTTTTCACAAGGCTGAAGATTTGGAAGACATGAATTCTTTATATCATTTATACGAAATCATCAGACAAATCATATTCTTCAATAAGCATGCTCTTTACGATGTTATTTTTGCTGAAGATAAATTGATGGACATAATAGGCATCTTGGAATATAGCCCAGCTGGTAGAAAAAAGCATAGGGAGTTTATTCGAAATCAAGCTACTTTCAAAGAGGTCCTCCCTCTTCATAATCCTGAGTTAGTCAGCAAGATTCATCAGACATATCGCGTTCAGTACATTCAGGATTGCTGTCTGCCCCCTCCCTGTCTCTTTGATGAGCACACTCTTTCGACTCTCAAGTCATTCGTATCAATAAATAAAATAGAGATTATTAGTGCGCTACAAGAGGACGAGGGATTTATGTGTCGGCTCTTCACTTGCTTGAAAGATCCAGAAACGGATCA